AGAAAGCAAAAATCGTCACAGATAGTTTTCATTTTTTCATAACGCCAATCTATTTGACACAATAGAGTGTCAAGAACAATGTAAATTTGTATTTTAAATAATTTTTCGGGTGTCAAGTTACTTCCTTCATTTGTTGTTTTATCTATTTCCATTATCTGAACTCTTTTTTTTTCGTTTATTAAGAAATCCCTTTTATATACTTTTTGGTTTGTTTTAAGAATATGATCAATAATAGCATCTGTTAATATTGTTGGCCATAAAGCTATATCATTTATTACTTCCATGTATCTATATATATCGAAGCGTTTTTCTGGACTATTTCTATCTTCTGCGTTTTCGCAATCCCTTTTTTCAGTAGCATTTTAAAGACTGCGGGAGCCNAAAATTATAACGAGATAGTTACTGTTAATAGATATATCTAAATAAATAGATGTTATATGTTTTTATCAAAGCGAGAAATAGCATTTAGTGGGCATATGGAATATATTGGATCTAATAACACAGGTAATTATATTGAACTTGTTTATTTATTAAGTACGTCAGATAAATAATCTATTAAAAATACATTTAAAGAAAGTATTAATTGATTGTCCCTGGAAGTCGGCTTCTTATAGAAACACAGCTTTCTATCATCGAATGTCACGGCACGCCACTGCAATTTAGCAATTAAAAAAATCCCCAAGCATATTTATTTTTCTTACAAAATGTTACATTTACAGAGTTATAGCTCTACATACTGTAGAAAAATCTAGATATACAGTTTTGTATATAGTAATAATATTAGTAGTTGCCAGAGAGCTCTATAAAGTAAAGAAAAATCTGTAAATTTGAAAACTATAAATATAAATTTAAATTTCTCAAAAAATAAATTAAAAAATCTCAAAAAGTTGCTACTATTGCTGAGTGAGGTCTCCGCTACCTCACTACGTCCCTCTAAAAGTCGCAACAGTTGGAAACACCAGTGAGCAGACATCTAGGGTCAAAGTAAGGTGAAATGTAATTGCCAAACCGTGCTGTAGAAAGGCAGAAAAATTTTTAATTTAAAAATATAATTTCTTGTGAACAGCAGTTTGGGCCCCCTTCCAAATGGACCCTGTGCGGGTACACCTGTTGCACCTGCCTAGTTACAGCTCTGAACTTACTGTTCTTCTTACTCAGTGGTCACCTTATGACATGGGTTGTTTGTACATTTCAAAAAAAGTTCCTCTTATAATGCAGTTAAATTTTTGAACAAGGACCGTGTCATTGGTGCACAAGAATAGTGACACAACTAAAAAAAAATAGAACTTTCAGAACAGCCATTTAAAAGTTTCTTGTTTCCTGCAAGGCTTTGTCATGCTCTTGAATTTTTAAAATTTTCAAATCTTTTTAGGAAATAAATATTAGTGTTTGTTCTTCCACATAAAAATATGGGGAGTTTGCTATACATTTCTACAATAAACTCAAAATTAGAAATTTTTGAGTTGTGTCACTATTCTTGTGCACCAACGATGTTATATTGAGTTACTAGTGCAAACAATATGTATATATTTATATTTAAAAAACAAATATATGGTTTCTATATTATATTAGATTACTGGAATTTAAAATAAAAATATTAACCATTACAAATATATGATACACTGGTGATTCAATATAATATGCTTTGATAGAATGCATGCAGCATATGGATTTCAATTTATTGTCCAGTCTCTTCAGATCCTACTGTTTTTATTACATCTTATTGTAGGCTATTAAGTTAAATTGGCAGCATCCATTGACTCAACTTGCAATATTTGCTAGCCATGTCTATACTTTCTCCTTGCNTTGTTGCAAATTCTACAATTATTATTACAGAACAGATTTACAAATGCAATATTTTTAATAATTTTACTAAATAGTTGCCATAATTTCCTGTGAATAACCCATGGGATTTAAAAGTCAATTTGAAAGCTAATGCAGATTAATCTGACAATTTTAAATTCATCCAACAGATTTTCTTTTACTTGAACTTACAAAGGTATCTTTAAAAAGCATGAAAAATTCTGGTGCACTATATTATATGTTCATTTGCCATTGCAATTTTTCCAAGAAACTACCAAAGACACATACATTCTCTCATTATTATTATTAGACACATCCAATTTACATTTTAATTGATATTTTTAGACATTATTACTAAAAAGTTTATCTTGAAAGCCAATAAATTTTTAAATGTCAATTTTAACATTCTTAGTCTATATGCAACTTTCTTAGTAAAATCAAAAATGAGAATTGTTAATAAAAATTACTTTATTTACTGCTTTTATATATATATATATAAGTTGAGTCCTCATGTCGTCATAGGTATAACTAGACACAGTCAGTTAAGCAGTCAGTTTTCTGTGGTCCTGGCCAACTTACATAGGCATTAATGTTAAAAAAAACTCTGGTTTACTCAACACTGTTTAACTCATCACCACTGAATAAATTGACATACCTTTTCTGTCCCACACCTGTTTAGATGTCTGATAAGTTGACTGCCCTTCTGAAAAAATGAGTTCACATCACACAGCTTAACATAACAGCAGAATCTGATTTTACATTTTCTCATCTTTCATTCATGCATTATTTGCAGCAAGTGTTTCACATTTCTGTTAGAATCCAAAACTTAACAGTGCTTACATTGAAGGAAAAATATGAACTTTTATCTGAATTTGAATGTAATAAAACTTCATAAGCTGAATTTGCAAAACAAGAAAACCTTCCAAGAACAACATTGGTGGGAATTCTGAAGAAAAAAGAGGAAATTAAGAAACTTTTTCTTGGGTCTTTGTCATGGTTGTCTTGAAAATGCCAGAAAAAGTCGCTGTACAAAGATGTCAAAGATGCTCTGGTACATTGGCTAAAGTAAATTCATTCATCAAATCTTCCTGTTTCAGGGCCAATACTGAAACAAAAAGCGATAGAAATCATTGAGGTACTTGGAGTAGAAACCAACTTTAGTGTCAGTGATGGATGGTCTGAGAGATACATTGCATGTACTGTATAAAGCACTACTGTATTTTCCTAATTGTAGTTTTGTGGTTTTTTTCAACTTCATTTTAGTCATCATATCAGATAACTCGACACATTTCCAGTTCCCCATGGAGTGTCAACTTATGCAGACTCAACTGTATGTATGATAAAGTTATCATTCCCACCAAGAAGTATATCAGCTTTAACGTAACATTATTTTAGTCATGCTCCTGAGTTTTAGTTTCTAAATACATAGTTTTAGTTATAATTTTAGTACTAAAACTATATTTGGGTGAATGAAACAAAGTTTTGATTTTAATAAACTAAACTTACTCTACTGTGGTGTCATCCTGGACTTGTCTCAACTGCAGATGCTCATGAAAAATCATGTATATACTACAGATATCAACCACCTTAAAATCTTTTTCTATTTAATTTTTTTCAGGTTATTTTAAAATTTACTATTTCCTTTTATATTATTTGATAAATAATGCAAAAACAAAACAGAACAATAAAAATTATGTTGCTTGATGGTAATTTTGTATTTTTGATAAAGATTGCAGTTTAAGAGTTCTCTCTCAAATATTCTGTTTTCTCCATTTCACTTATTTTATAATAATAAATACAATTAATTGCAATTAATATAAAAGAAATAAAGGGAAAAAATATTTGAGATGATACCTTTTTATTTATTTTTGGAACTGCATACAGTTGTAAGGTATCATCTCAACATCTTGTTTTCATAATAAACAATGCTTTTTTGCCCTTGACTATAAATTAGATAAAATTAGATAATCTAATAAATAGGGTATAACAATTTGCAGGGCTTATCACATCAAGACCGACAGAAAGAAAGACCAGAACTTTTATAAAAAAAAAACGATTGGTCTTTAATAATCACGGGATAACCAACATATGCAGTGCAATGCGTATGTTGGTTATCCCGTTGTATTGGCTGGTTATTGGTGTTATATTTGTTACGTTGTTACCATGTGTCTGTAAGCTGATGAGGGGTCCTTGTACCCTAAATGCATAATTATTTAAATTTGAAATGTGATTATTAAAGACCAACCCTTTTTTTATACAAGTTCTGGTCTTTCTTTCTGTCGGCCTTGGTGTGATAAGCCCTGTAAATTATTATACCCTATTTATTAGGTTATCTAATTCTGTCTAATCTTGTTTTCAATAGCAGATTTGAAAGGTTTGCAGTACACAGAGAGAATTATGGTAACATTTATAAATATTTAAATCAGTTATTAAAATTAAAATAGTAGAAAATGCTTATATTTGAATACAGTAGACCCCCTATAACACAATAGATACATTTTGTGTTATATGAATTCCGTGTTGTACGAGTCCCTTAAATACATGAACCAATCACAGCCCAGCACATGTGCAGTGTAGGGACTATGACTGTTTGAAAGGTTTTCTTCCATAAAATTAATCGATTCTAGACTAATTTGACTCAACATTTCCAAATCACATATAATTTTTTGGGAATAATCCATATAAACTATGCTATAAACGAAAATTGTAGAATTACTTACCAAGTGCGCACCATTTGAAGACGCCATTGCTTAAGCTTGTTTTCGTCATGGAGTGGCTCATCGAACAGTGGGCACATGTTTTCTGATAGGTTGTTTTTCTGTGAAAAATTCACTGAACTTTGGAGACATCATTAATAAAAATATAATTTTTATAGCTGTTGAATAATAAATGTTTTTTAGTAGGTGCAGTGCTCATTTAAACTCAACAGTTTGTGCAATGTCCACTATTGGTCCAGATTCTACCAATCTTGTCATGACACGAGTCAGCGACGATGTGTTACTGTGTTATACGAGTCTCTTTTAGCATGTTATATGAATACGATTGCAATTTTTTTGTCGTGTTATACGAATCCGTGTTATAGGGGTCTACTGTATTTAATCATATCATTAACCCATAACTGTAATTTATGTAATAGTTTTACTCAATATTATTACATACAAAATATCATTTGAGAAAATACTGACTGATAAACTAACCTGATAACACTCCAGTTACAACACTATCACCTGGTGAATTGAGATCAACATCAAGAAGACAAACATCTAATAAATCTGCTGGTTGTGGATCCATTGGAACATCCTCAGGTTGAACATTGGGCATTTTTGAGAGAGAGAGATTTCTATTTGTTGATTTGCATCTAAAAAATTATGTAAAGTATCCAATAAATTTAATGAGAAATATACAAAACTCTTTTAAAATGTGAAAAAATTAGTTTTAAAATAATATATAAATATTATGATTTTTATCTTAATTCTCTTAAAAAATACAGTAGATCTTGTTTTTACACAAACTTGATATTTAAGAACTCATGTTTTTGTTGAATGGTCAGATTAACCCTTAAATTACCTTGTGCATCCAAACACAAGGTAATTCTGACCTTCAATGCACAAACTAACTATTTTTATTATGAAAATCATTGTGGAGCATAAGTAATAGTATAATAATTAGCAAAATTCTCTACAGCCTTTGAGAAAATATTATCAAGATGAAACAAAAACAGAAAGCTTGAATCCATATTCAAGCTTTATGTTTTTGGACATGAAGAAAACAGAAAAAAAAAGTGTTTTTTATATTAAGAATTAAATATCAAATATATAAAAACCTTTCATAGACCTCTGTTTAAATAACTTTGTTTTTGAGAGTACAATGAATTTTGGTAACTTGGGAATTTTCTGAAATTTTTCGACGATGGTGGGTTTTATTGCATATAAGTTACATAAAAAAGTAAAAGTAAATGACATTATCTGATATAATGAAAATGGTAATAGAATGTTTTACACATATATACACTGTCATAAGTGTAAACTGTACAGGGCAGCCATCATAAAGCCTATTTCAAATGTTAATTTTCATTGATACTATCTCTTTTCTAATTTTCTTTAAAGCATATAATTTCTCTTCTTCCATTTAGAGAATTCAAAAAAATATACTGCATTTCATTGTTTTATGAAATAATGTAAATTTTAAAGAGTATTTTGCATACTATTAATAACAATAACAATATAAGTGTGTAAAATTAAAAAACTGAAATGTTTATGATGTTTATGATGAAATTTGTACTTCAATACAAGAAATAAGATACAAAATTATGTATACATTCATAAATATTTCAGTTCTGTACAAACTTATCTCAAATAATTTAGCTATCTGTAATAATGTCAGAAGGTCTGATTTCATTGCACAGTGTTGTTTTATAATTTTACACATTTATGTATTTATTTTTATTATTTTATCTAGTGCATGTGTTTCATCAACATTATTTTTTATTGTACAGTGGACACTGTCCACTGTATGCAAAAAATTTATAAGAAAAATTCTCACTGACTCAAATGACAACACACTCTTGACAATAAAGTTGCTCTTAGAAATCTCATTCAATCCTGAATTTACTATTCAAAGTAGAATAAAATAACAGATTAGCTTTTTCTAGTCTTTGTTCATCTAAATACACATTAATTTTATAATTAAAAAAAGCAAATTTGAAAAGAATATAAATGAGCAAATCAATAAATCAATGCACTTCCTGCCTTCATTGAGCACAAGTCATCAAGATAACACTTTCTTAATATTATTTTAATTATTCTGTAGTTTTCTTTCTGTCTCAAAATTCAATATTATTCAACACACTTAATTTTTTACATCTTTTTATTCTCTAAACAATTTCTTTTTTTATATAGTAACATTTATATTCATAATTTTGAAATAAACAACAAGCCATTTGACACAAACAACTAGATGGCTGAAGTGGTAAAGCCAGCCATTCTAAATAAAAATCAAAACCTTTAAACAATCCAGCAAATCGTTTTTTAATATCTTAAAAACACTTTTGAATGCTTTAAGCGATCATCCTCAGTTATCATTTTTAATCAAACGAAGAATTTGAAATTATGTAAAACAAAATTCAAAAAGTGGTTGCATAAATGTACATTAACATTTAGCAAGTTTAAATAATTGCAAAAATTATACAAGTTAATTAAATTGAAACAAAGAAATAAAATAAAATATATACATTCAGTAAAAATTATCTTAATTATTCTTCCCGCTTACATAAACTACGTCAACTCATCGTAGAAGGATTTCCATGCCGATGACAATCCGTCATCATCCCAATGATTAATACAGTTTGTGTGCAACTGCACCTTGTGAATTTCTAGTTTTCCAGATGTTTTATGGCCTGCCTGGATCTTGTAGCTTTAATGATCGACGCCCGATCCCAAAAGACCTCGATATTCTGCTGCTTGGCAAAGGCAGCAAGCACCGTAGAGTCTACGTTTTTATTTAACGAGTCCTTATGTTCAGCAATTCTTTTCTTTAAGTTTCTCATGGTTGCTCCTATGTATACCAAATTAGAATTAAATGTACGGTCTTTTAACAGTATTGAGTATACCCCTGCCATCGTGTCGCATTCGTAACTGCCTTTATCGTTCCTTAAGAGCCTATATATGGTGGGATTACGCTTGTAAACTATCTGTATGTTCTTATTTCTGGTAATTTTCTTAACCATTCCTTTGAGGAACGGTATGTAATTAACTCCTTCATTCCCGATCAATTTTTAATTAATTATAATTAAACATAAAAAATACTTAAAACTGAAAAAAACAAAAAAAAAAAATGCGTTAATTTTGAAGGAAAAGCTTCAAAGTTTAACTTCCTTTGTCTCCCCTTTCTGTGAAATTTGGCACCGATGAGTCATTGTTTACACAGCTGGATGACCTTGAGAACAGCTGGAGTCGGATTTCCCGGGACATTCTCATAGACATCTCAGGAGGACAAGGGTTTAAAGTAAGGTGAATACTAGCTGGCCGTATATTTTTAAATATTTTTAAAAAATTAAAATTTTAATTGCGATTTCCGACCCCCCTTAATTAATTAAATATATATATAATAAAATCTATTAATTAAAAAAAAATTAAAACACTATTGGAGGTCGTTTCTGACATCAGAAAGTAGCTTTAAATAACTTTACCGAAGGAAAATTTGTGCACTACAACTTTAGAACAATGAATAAAATTTGATATCAAACTCCCATTAAAAAACAATTAAAAAGCAATTAAGCATAAATCGTGCATCATTAAAGGTAAATTAAAATCGCAATAAAATTTTTTCGCGCAGGAAAAAATTTTTGAAAAAATTTGGAGACAAAAAACATTCCAAAAATAAAAAAAAACAAGAATTTTTTAGGGGGTCCAAACGCCCAAGTTTTATGTAACGCTATGTAACTTGCCCGAGATATCTCGGGTTTGAGGTTTAAGGTGTTGGAAAAATTTTCTGTTAGTGAACCCTTTGTTTATAGTTTGGTGTGCATTCTAATTTTACTTTTTTTTTTAAAATCAGAATACAGTAAAAAAACTTGATTCTGAATGCCAAAGGCACTGTAGGATGCCTTAAATATACTAAATACTTTTTCCTACATATTTTGTGCAGAAATGGAGATGTATCTTACATGCCATAAAATGCATTACTTGTCAACAAAATTTTTCTTAAATCAAATATGTACAGTACATCTTATATTTGTATATTGACGACATAAATTTATATGTATATCAAATATGTACAGTACATCTTATATTTGTATATTGACTACATAAATTTATATGTATATTTATTTGTGATTTATATACATTAATTTATTACTATATTTATCTACCATAAAATCATTCAAGTCTTCATACATATATACATACATACATAGTATAGTGGTATTGTACCTGTGCTTTGAATGACTTTTAACTTCAAATGCAAAATTTGACAAAAATCTGTTTTGGCATTCGAATGATGCTTTAAGGTTTGAACTGCAAATGCAGTGAAAAATGCACCTGAAGCATAAAATAAGCTTCTGAACAATCTCAAATTAACAATAATGTGCTAATTTTCACAATTATACTTAAAACACAATTATATTTTCACAATTTCACTATTATAATTAAATCACACACCAGCCTATGTTACACAACAACAGCAGTTAAAAAAAAATGCAAAAACTTTCTGTTCAATCAAATATCATCTTTACTTATTAATATTGACAGCTGAAAAGTTGTGTAAAAGCAAACAAGTCTAACAAGTAAGAGGAAGGCTATAATATCAACAATTCAGATGGCAAAGGTACTTACTGTAAAACATGAAAGCAATACACTTGTCACAAATCTGGTGGGCATGATTAAGATGCTGAAGTTGATGGTGTGCAACCAGTATATGCAATTTTCACTTTATTATACAATATTTTTGCCTGGGCAAAGCACAGGCTACTAGGGTATCATTTTCACCTTCTTGTCTGAGTTTTTAAAAATAATTCCCATGTTAGATTTTTGTGATTTTGGTGTCAAAATGCTCAGTATAACCTTGTCCTTTGTTGGAAATACTTTTTGTAAAATATAATCCACTCTGAGAAAAGATATATTCAAAAAAACAAAAGTGTTGACTTTTTCCACTTTGACACTTAATAACAAAAATCATTTTGACATTTTTGGGTGCTGTTTTTTGGAATATAAAGGCACACAGTTCCTTGATATTTTTCCAGAATTTCGGTTGAACTACAGAAAAGTTATGCGAATTCTAAGAAAAAAGGAAGGTCCCTCATTCCCACTAGATGGCTCCATGTTACCTAGCTCTAATAATGGGAATACATAATTTAAACACTTAATTGAGACAATTTTTCACTTAAATGGGACAGTAGCAGAAAAGGAATTTAGCCATTGTTGATATATTTTAGGGATCTTCCAAAACTATGTCAACTCTACATATACTAATTCAGTGATCTCCAAAGTTTTTTGATCACTTACCCCTAAGACAAAAATAATTATAAGTTGCACCCTTATAATATAATATATTATATCAGAAACTTGGCGTACCCAAGTATCACAGTACTAATGTCATGTAGGCCTAACAGTTGGTGGAAACAAAGCAATTTTGTCTTTTGCTTGGGTGATTCAGTTTTTCTGCAGGGGGTCAGCATAGTGGGACATAGTGGTATCACACCGAGATCACATCTGAGCAAACCTGAATACGAGCTATTGATCCTGCTCTGAATTAAACTGGTTCAACTCCTTCCTCTTGTCCCACTGGAAATTTTCAACTTTTATGTAACAATTTCAAATACAGTGGAACCTCGCATAACGAGCAAAACAAATTGTAAAAAATTGCCTTGCTTAACAAGCAATGTTTTGCATAATGAGTGACGAGGAAAGGGAAACTCCCGAATTATGTGAATGCTCCATCTGTCTGTGTTTAGCACTCATCTTAGTGTTGCTTGTGATCACATATTTTTCCAAACTTGTGTTCACACACATTACTTTTAAACATCAACAACCATAGCCCATTATATAATAAATACGCCAAATGATATGCCAAATTCTTGGGCTATGTAAAGGCTATAATTAAATATTAGAAATTAATTAATTTGACTAGAGGTAGGCAGTTATGCTGCCATCTCATATTAAATTAATGACCAATTCCAAATTAAGTTTTAGAAATGTCTGAATTAAAAAATTAACTATTTATAATTATTAAATTTAATACAAGATGAAAGCATAACTGCCTACCTCTAGGTAAATTAATTAATTTCTATTATTTAATTATAGCCTTTATGATATGCCCAAGAATTTGGCATATCATTTAGAGTGTTTATCAAACATATCTGTGATTATTTTTGTTTTCTGCAAATCGAATTTGCATTCCAGGTTGGTTCATTCCTTGCTAGAGGAAAAGATGATAATGATTCACACTCCTTAACAATGCACATTGTACAATTTTCTTTGAATAAACATTATACTGTACATAAAATATTTGAGTATTTTTTTTTTTGGCACAGAATGCATTATCATATTTTACATTAATTTCTATGGGAAAAATTGTTTTGCTTAACAAGTGTTTCACATTAAGAGTAAGATTCTGGAACGAACTATGCTCGTTAAGCGAGGTTCCACTGTACATGTATTTTAGTCATGTCAAGCAACTCACCGACATTATGTTTCAGATGCAGTTCCCTCAGTGGAGACTGACTGCACAAAATCTCAAACACAGCTGCTTCTAATGAGCAACTCAAATTTATCCAAGACTTAAATGCCAACTGATTTTATTTTATTATTCTTTTATTTCTTATCTTTTCATTTACTTTAATTCAATTTCTTTATTACACTTCTCTTTTTTATCTGTACCTTTCATCATATTTTTTTCTTTTCTCAACAATAAATCATTTATAATCTTTCATTTGTGACATATCAGTGCTCAAACTGCTTGCTTAAGCAAACTACATCAATAAACATCGTCTTGAGTTTTTTGATGTCACATATCTAGTAATGTACAGTATACAGTGTTTAATTTACGGTTTTCATGTTTTTCATTTATTATTAAGGCATTTAATTGTTACTTTTACCCTAAATTATGTGTAGTTGCAATTTTAAGTTTATCAAAATAGGTATTGTTTATGGTCTGGAAATGGACTAATTGACTTTCCATTATTTCTAACAGAAAAAAATTTCTTCAGACATTGAATGATTCAGAGTTTGAATGACCTCCTGGAATGAATTAAATTTGAAGTACAAAATGTCACTGTATATAGAAAAAGTAATTAGTAATGAATTATCAGAAATAAATACAAGCATTGTTGATAATTCTTATCTTTAATTTGGAGTAAGTGATAATGTTAATTAGACAAAACTATGTATTCCCTCAAAATTTTTAGTTTTATCAGATAAAAATGAAAAGACAATCAAAATTAAGTTTAGAAACAGTAATTCATTATTCAGTTTCACTTTTACACACTTGCTAAAAAAGACATTTGATACTGGAAAAGCAAAATAATGTGAAAAAGTTCAAATATTGATTTGATCAATTTCTTACACTATTGAACACTTTATATTTCAAAGATTTGCTATAGATTGTTTTAAAGTTTCAATAAAATAAAAAGACTAGCTCTATTCTTACAAATTGCTCTTACCAAACTCTTAAAATATTCTCTATTGGATTAAGAACAAGTGACTATATGTCAGTCCAAAACCATAAAAATATTGATTAAAAAACATTCCAGTTTAAAAAATGTCTCCTAGGAATCAGCCACTTGCTCGATACAGTCAAGGTTAAAAGTATTAATAGTATATTACAATCAGTGCATTCATAGAAAAGCTTTTATGAATTATAAGAATAGTAGTATATTCACTTATAGATTCACCTTATATAATGCAAATCTCAGTTAATCAGGATTTGGATGATCAAAATTATACTGAATATATACATATTAAAAATATTTGTATAAATAATTTCAAATTTTCAGTGCGTGTTTTTAGTACAATTCAATTTTAAATTATTTTAGAAACAAATATGTATTATAAATATTTATAAAAATTTACTTACTTTCTGTGAGTTACAACTTTATGTAAAAAACTAAGTAGATTCATTAAATGCCACGGTTCTTTTTGTGTTGTATGACCACCTCTTTCAGCAGCCTTTTTTTCTCTGACATATCTATCCCTCAATACTTTCCATCTTGTTTGAACTTCAGGTACTGTAAAAAAGTATGTATGTATTAATTATTCTATTTTACCTAGAACAATTTTTAAACAGACACCAATGCTAAATTTTACATAATTGTAGTTTTTATTATTTATATCTTTATGCATATATTAAAGATATTTGCTTTTATACAACATAGAAATTCTATATACCAAAATTCATAATAATCAAATGTACCAAATATATTTTAATATTTATAAAGAAAACTTAACGCATACTAATTTAAATTTTACAAGTTTGTAACATTTCAGAAATCTATTAGAAACTTGCATGTAAAGTTTAAATAAGTTTATTTAATTTAGTAATAATTTAAGCATTAATAAATAATAAAATTAATTATAAAATAACTCACTAATTTACTAATAATTTCCTGTATTGATTGTTGTATTTTATTTTATTAATTTATTCAATTCAAATAATAATATGAGGGTTGACTGATATATGAAGTCTCATACTGCAGCATTGTATAAAGTAATGGAATAGAAATATATGACTACTAAATGGTGATGGTGGTAAGAACTATCTAGTCTAGAGGTAAAAATGGTATTATTAGACCTCTAGTATGCTCTGATAAATATAAAATGTATAATATATCAATGTTTTTGAAAAATATAAGATAGGAAAAAATTCTAAAAGTTTCTTTGTCCAGCTTTTGAAAGATAATATGGAGCCATATAGCAAGTTGCATAAGTAAATATATATTCAGTATACAAATACCAAACTATAACTATAGTTAAATAGATGTCTATTAAAAAAACCATACTTTTATAACTCAAAATTCATGATATAAAAATTAAATTTGTACCATTTTATTTTGTTATCAGGCCTTACTAGAAACTAGAATTTGATCCCATGAGAAATATCAAAAAGTGCGTGGAACTATGTCATCAAATACTCCACTACCAATACCTATTCTTTTGTATAATTGTTTTTAGCTAATACTTAGCAGAAACAAGATATAGCTTGGTGAAATGGTTTTTGCATATATAATGTTTGTTTAATAATACACATCTTAGAATATATTATCTAATTATGAAAGAAGTATAGTTATAACTTACATTTGGAATAAGTTTTCATATATAATTAAATTAAGATTCATTCAGAAAAATTACAAATTGTGAATAAGACTTGTAGAAAATAATTAAAATAAAACAAGTGTAGATTAAAGATTTGTTATGGAAAACCAGAGAAGACCAGCAAGCAATCAAGTACTATTACAAGGAGTGCAAAAGTAGGTTATAAACATTGTTGTTATGGAAAAAAAATGCAGGAAATAGACATAGAAGAAAAAATATTTTTATGCATTAAATCACAAATAAGGGAAAGAAAATAATAAAAGATAAAAATAATAACAACAATGAACACTAAACATCTATATTTCTTAGCTTCACAACTCTAACCATACTTTTGTATCCCCTTGTATATGATAATCAACAGTAATCATTCAGTCCCTAATAGCACACAGACAATCCATCATTGGATTGACAATATTACCTTTTGAAAGACAATTCAAAATTGATATTTCATTCTATTTTTGATTAAATTTTTTATCTACTAATAAAATCCCTCTATAATGATATTTAGCAAAACAAGAAAAAATATTGTAATAGAGAAATTTGTTGTTATACTGAGAGTTTTAAAACAATATCTCCTTCCTCATTTAATATTGTTGAATGGCTATTTCTACAAAGTTAGACAATGTTAAAACCAAAACACAGAGTATTATCATCAGGATCAATCTGTATAAATATTGGAAGGAAAAGACCAACAATAACAAGTAAGAAAAATTTCTCATTGTTGGGTTTAGAATGAATATACAAAATAAGGCATATTTGTGTACAGTATTCATTTATACTTTTAATTTTTGTAGTATGATATAAAATAAAAACATATTGGAAGGGAATCACAATAAAAATACACAAATTAATTATTCACTTAACCTATGAAAATATTTATGCATCTCAATGAATAATTTGTTTAGTTGGACAGAAATTATAACCAATGCCTTTAAAACTTTTGGGACACAAAAACCATTGGATACTGAGAATTTTTTTTATTACAGGAACTACTATTAAATATCAATTTTGACTTCATTACTGAAATTTAAAGGCAGTGCATTTTTATTGTATTTTATTTCAATTTGTGTTTCTGTTATTTCATTACTCTTCTGATAATTCTTTTTTATAGAGCTTATGAAATAATAATGTAAACTCATGTCATTGATCAAATTCAAACTTAGAAATAAAGAATTAAAAAAAATTCAAATTTCAAAACTTTTATTTTCTGAATAAGATTTTTCTTTTTACTTTCCCAGCTGTTATGTATGCATAACAAGTGAAAGTATTGGAATCATGTCAAATTTGACCCTACCAGTTTTTTTGCAAATCTTCATGTTTTGAGACTTAAGACCTAAATTTAAAAAAAAAATTCTCTATGGGTGTGTGTGTGTGTGTGTGTTTTGGCATCATTTTGCTTAATATCTCAGGATGGGGTAAAGATTAAGTAAGAAAATTTGGCATGGCAGCTTGTATATGAGGGGCATTAATGCTATTAAATTTTGGTGGTTAAAAGTCAAAGGAGTGGGAAGATAAAGGGGATCATGTGTATCTCCAAGTAAGGTCACACTTAATGACAATTTTACTTGTTAGTAACAATTATACTTTTTTATAAAACTCATCCTTATCCTCAAAATTAAGCTTTTTGCCATTTTATAGAATTTAAAAATATAAAAATTTTTTTATAACAAAATCTCATAACAGATGGTCACCATACAATTTTAAATAATTACTATAAATTTATTATCCAAAATAAATACAACAAAACTTATATAAAAATATGTAGCTAGTAGATTTAGATTTTGTCCTAGTAAATTTTTCTACAAAGGGAGTCAAAGGCTGGAGCAACAAAACTTTTGGCAAATGATGTAGCAACAAAACTTTTGGCAAATGATGTCTGACAAAAGAGCATATTGCAAACTTTCCTAGTAAAGCTGGGAAAGTAATACAATTTGTCGATTTTTTTTCTTATGAATAGAGTAAGTAAACACTATGTTAACATTAAATAGCCTAATAAATCATAATAAATTTTAAAAATTTTAGAAGCAAACTTTTTCTTTTTGGCTAAGTCTAAGATTTTAATTTTTCCTTTAAACTTTTAACTGTTCCTATTACTATATATTCAAGGCTTCTCAGAACTACCAACATAACTATCCTTGCATTTTGCAGCCATGTTGGCAAAGTAATTAGCATAAATGAAACCAAAAAAAACACTGTTATCATCCAGACATGACATGTCACAAGTGAGAATACCAAAGACTGATGCAAGTTCCAGGGCTTAGTGTAAAATAAAGAAATGAGTCATAGCAATTCTTTCCCAATAAAAGAATGAGCATAAATGGGCAAGATGCTGCAAGACTTTGTGCACCTTAACAGCACATATTCAGTGCACAATTAAAAACTTCTATCTTATGTATTTCTTTTTTATTTCATTTTTGGATTGCCAATAGCATAAAACTAAAAGCATGTTCAGCATAGTCCTACAGTATTTTGAGACAAAAATAGCCATGTGTATATGATATCATAAATCTACAACATTTCCATAATGCTTCTTTTATTGCATGATTCTGATTGATCTGCTGACTAGTACTGTAATTTTCAATAATAAAGTATACTGCAATTTTTACATGACTATTCAATTGGTCAAGAGCATAAAAAAATTGAAAACTAATTTAATGAATAAGTTTATTGTAGTAGCTTCTCTATACAAAGAATCAGAAAATAAATCATTGAGAAAATGTAACTTTGTTAAATTAAAATAATAAAATAAATATTATTTCATACAATAACAATGTATGTAAAACACTTTTTTAAAATATATTTTCTATATTTTAATTTTTAAAATCTAGAAAAATAATATTTTAATATTTCAGTTCATTTTATATTTCATACATATTTTCTTATAATCTAACATACATATCATAAATGTTATAATGTAATTCAGGAAAATATAAGTAAAAAAATGACATATCATCCTTTAAAAATTTTGTATTGGGTTGTTCAGAAAATAACTTCGTTTTTCATGAAAAAAAAAAAAAAAAAAATATTCNTTGTACTCCCCATGGTAAGGCATGAATTTCTCTAATATGATTTTTATATGGCTATGTATTTTAAATTGATAAGTCTCTGTAAAATTTATTGTTCTGTTGACATTCTTATAATTGAAACTAGAATTTATTTATTCCAAAAGGACTACTAATGAAAGGAGAATTATATCATTTCATATGCTAATTAGATTATTTATAATATGAACATGAAACATAAGCATATTTTACAGTCACAAAAAATTCAAATTTTTACGATTAGAAGCAATTTAATGATGACTGTACAATTTGGGGTTGCTGAAAAAAAAATGCCAGCTCCTGAATTTTTTATATTAGGCCATAATCACGGCTTAGTTTGAAATTAGCAATCAGAAAAACACCCAAAATTCAACACATAAAATACCAAAAATAAAAAAAGTGTGAACAAGTGGATTAGAATGAAGTTTCAAACTTTATTATTAATTTAATAAAACAATTAACTGAGAAGAGAACTTTTATTGAAGCAAAAGTCAAAACTTTATCATAAAAAAAATTCTTTTAAATTTAAGTCAGCACATGAAATAAACAATTCTAAATTTGAACTTAAGGATTATATTTTCACAATCTGATGCAAAAAAAAAAGTTTATGAAAACTTGCTTTTTGTCACTTAAAGGACAACTAAGGATCATTTACTGATTAGAAAAACCTACAACCTCATCTTATGAATGTGTTTGTTCATCTATTCATAGCCAAGAGGAATATCATAATTTGGTTTATTTGCACATTTACATTTTACTTACATTCATAAAAGTTTGACATTTTGCAGGACAGTGATACTAACAATAAAGAAGTTTTATATCATTGCTTTTCTATGAATTAGTTTTATTTAACTCTTCTAAAATACAATAAAAAA